CCCCAAAACCCCAAAACCCCAAAACCCCAAAACCCCAGAAACTTTGGACCAAATTGAAACTGTACACCAATATAATTAGTTAACTATTATTGTATGTTTTCATACTGACCCAAACTGAAGCTGATCTCTTAGGATGGCAGAGTTATTAAAGAACCAGAATGGGCCATTATTAATACTCTGAGGGATTGAGGATTGAGAACCACAAAGAATATACCAAGGGCTAGTATAGGATAAGCCACAGAGGCTCCAAAAGCTAATTTTCTAAGTGTAATACATTTAAAGTAAATACTTTTGAATAGTAAAAATCTTTTCAGTACCAGGTTTGAAGGAGCATTATTATCTTTGACTATTTCTTGTAACTATCAATAATTATTAGATAAACTTTGTCAACATTTTAGGGAATGAAGTTATTAATTCATTAGGTTTTGAACTGAGTTTAGCTCTCAGACAATTTAAAGTACTTATGAAACCTCCAGAGGTCAGCAGTTTCCTTTAAATTTGCAAATGATACATTGGGATCTTCATTAGTGTATGTGGCTTGAATTCTGTTCGATTAAATATTAACCATCATTCAAAATCTCTATCTTACCTATGCGGATACTTTTATATAATATCTAAGGAGTTTATCATTTTGCATCTGAGCATAAGTTTTAGCTCAGAGGCGAAAAATTGCATATATCTGTTTTTCACGGATCTTTTCGTATTTCTAGTTACTTTGCTTAGCCATGCTTTATTCGCCTTGATTTGTTTTGCAAGTTTCTTGGAGAGTTGCTTCTCTCGAGCAAGCTGGTTTTTAAGATCCTCAAGCTCTGCTGTATCATTTAAGAAGAACTCTTCAGATGGTTTTGAAGGGCTCTCAGAAAGAATTTGTTGGTAAAAGTCTGCTACCTGAACATATATTTCTATTATGATGGCAATATGCCTTATTCTGTTAGATTTCTTTGTCCTGAGCTCCTCGTACGAGTTCGGACATGTCTGCTTGCATCAATCAGCAGGTGTGATTTTCATAAAGTTTATTAGTGATTAAATCATTTCAATTAATTTGATATTTAAGGGGTTTTGGGGTTTTGGGGTTTTGGGG